TTTTTTTTTTTTTTTTTTTTTTTTTTTGTAATTCAAACATTCCTGAGAAGGAAAATAGAACTTAAAAAATATGTTAATTTAACTTGTCAGGGTAATAGAAGAAATTGAGAAACTGTTTTTTAATATTTAAATAAACAAAGGTGTACAATTTTAAAGATAAATAACTCCAGAAGATACCAGATTTCCAAAAACAATTCTGTATTTATCATAGAATATAGAAACAAGACTTTCTAAATTTGATTAATTACAAACACTTCATAAGATCTTGAAATAATGTAGAGGTTTATTGTGGCACTTTATCTGAATGACTGGCTCTGTATTTTGTTGATATTTTGCTCAAATGATAATTTTTTTTGTCCAAAAATAAAATTTTTGACTCATGTATTATCCAAATTTTCCTGATCCAACTATACCGATTTTCATACATCAGCACAATACATTGTACCAATGGTTTTCGACACAGAGCATTCACAGGGTCCCTATCGATATACAGAATTGAAAAGAGAAACATGTCACCTCCAAAGAATACTTGGTTAACTACCTAAGGAGACATGTATTGAACTGGGAAGTCCCTTGCTTGTAATGTATTTCAATATTTCCTTTTTCCAAAAGCAAAACAATATTCAAAACTTTCTAAGGAATTTCCAATACTAGCTTTATCTTACTTTCTTTAAGCAGGTTTTTTTCTTAGTTTCTAACATGGGTTTTTAAACAATCTCATTAACTAGGCATTTAAGTGTTCTTTGTATATGCAAGACAAAAATCCCTTCCCAGAGACACAATTGCATGTATTTTCTTTCATTTGCAGGTTTTCTTTCCATCTTCTTGAGAGTATCCACTGATCCATCTCCTTCATTTACTCTATCTAGCCGTTGTCTCTCCTTGTTGATACCTGATGGAGTCTGGATGTGTTGTCCCCTCCAAATCTCATGTGGAAATTTGATCCCCAATGTGGCAGTGTTGGAAACTGACTGAGTCATGGGGGTGGATCCCTCATGAATGGATTAATGCTCTCCTTGGAGGGGGGAGAGATTAATGAGTAAATTCTCACTCTATTAGTTCCCACAAGAGCTGGTTGTTTAAAAGACCCTGGCACCTTCTCTCTCTCTCTTTTGCTTCCTCTTGCCATGTGATCTGCTTGTACCTGCCACTTTCTGCCATGAGTAGAAGCAGCCTGAGGCCTGTGCCAGATGCTGCTGTTGCAGAATTGTAAGCCAAAGAAACTTTTTCCTTATAAATTACCCAGTCTCAGGTAATTCTGTTTTAGCAACACGAAACGGGCTAATATAATACCCATGGTCATACTTCATGAAAACATAATTTGGATTTGCAAGGAGTACCTGTGCTAAGCATTCCAGACCAGGAGGGCAGTTTGGCATAGGAATTGACCCTGGCATCCATGTTATTGGAGCAGACTGATAGGGCACAGGATATTTGCCAGGCTGATATTGGATAGGATGGGTACCACCAGTTGGCTGGTACAAAGGGAAAGTACTGGGCTGCTGTGGACTGTAGTATCCCATAGGCAAACCTCCTGGGTAGCCTGCAGGTGGAGGGACAGCTGGTCCAGGGGGCCCTATATTCAAAAACAAATGAAAGTGTTATAACACTATAACATATTGGAAGTTAGCATGACTCGTAACAAGATGAAATGAATTACACAACTACATAAAAATAACTAACGACTCCATTTTCTGTGCACCATGCAGCAACAATATACTACGTAGGTTTATTTACATACTAACTAATCCTCTTAAACCTTATGAGAATATTATTCCCATTTCAGAGGTCCAGAAATAAGGTTTGAAACTTACAGGGCATAGGGACACAGCATTGAGGGAATGTTAGCCTTTCAATGCATTAGGTTCTTCCTTTGGAGATAATATACTTACTACATTAGGTTGTATTAGTGGGATTAGTGGGATTAGTACAAGGCCTAGCATGTAATTACCACTGTAAATTTTTGTCATTATGTTTATTACTGTTATTGTTCAAGGCCACAAAGATACTAAGATCTACTTCACTTTAAAGGGGTGCATTTAATGACTATGTTGGGCTGCCTTTGACTCAATAACTTGTTTGTATCCTCATCGTCTAGCTCTCAGACTATTCCTCAATCCTGAGATCACTTAGATCCAATACTTTAAACTTATCACCTTAGTAGTTGGGACGGCTATAACAAAACACAACAGCCTGAGTGGCTTAAACAACAAGCATCTCTTTCTCACAGTTCTGGAGGCTGGGAAGTCCAAGATCAAGTGCCAGCACATCAGGTTTGGTGAGAGCCCTATTCCTAGTTTGCAGATGGACACCTTTTTGATGTAACCTCCAACGGTGGAGAGAGAGATCATCTCTCTCATTTTTTTCTCTTGTAAGGGTACTAATTCCATCACAAGGGCTCCCCTATCATGACCTAATTACCTCTGAAAGGCCTCACATCCAAATACCATCACATTGGGAGTTGGACTTCGATATGTGAATGGTGGGGTTGGATACAAATATTCATTCCATAGCACTTATCCATCCACCATTTCTCTCCATTCCATCTCCAACCAGAGATCTGATAAATTTTGTCTCTGTCATTATAACTTAGTCAAGGGACCTGGATTTCCTAAAAGAGATACAACATTTTATAATGTTTTCAGAAGAGTACTCATAATAACATGTCAGCACACAAAAACTAATGTGCAACTTTAGGATTTTTATCAAAGGTTTCTTAAGATAAGCAATGGCAACTTTGCAATTCATGGTAATTTTTTAAAATTCAAGGAATTGCCATCATAGAGATGTGCATGCCCATGCTGCTTAGATGTACCACTAATATCAATAATTTATTAAATAATTTTGATCATTAATAATTTTTTTCATTTTTGTCCTCCTTTTCAGGTTTTTAACATTAATTGATTAAAATATGCAAGTAATGGGGCCCTTGTTGTCTACCAAGACATATTCAACAGACTCTAAGTTATTTGTAAGGTTTTATAGCCTTCACTGAAATCCTATGAGTGCAGAGCCACAAGCAGCCCACACGCGCTTTTCTCTGAACTGCCAGGAAGACCAGACCCAGATAAAGAAAGGCTTTCTTCCTCTAACACAAATTCAAGAAAAGAATGTCTTGAGAAAAATCTTGTGGTTGAAAACAAAAACAAATTATGTAAGTCAAGGTATTTCATGTTAAAATTCCAATATAGATCTATTTCAGTTCAAACGTGTTATGTTACACATGGATATTGAGCTGTCTCAGCACCATTTGTTAAATAGACTATTCTTTCTCCATTGAATTATTTAGGCACCTTTGTTGAAAATCAATCGACCACAGATGTTTGAGTTTATTTCTGGACTCTCAATTCTATTTTATTAATTTACATGCCTATCTTATGCCAATACTATATGGTATGGACTACTGTAGCTTTGTAATAGAATTGGGAAATGGGAAGTGTGAGACCTCCGAAATTTGTTTTTCAAGAACGTTTGGGCTATTCTGAGTCCTTTACATTTCCGTATGTATTTGAGAATCAGCTCGTCAATTTCTTAATAAAAAAAACCCTACTAGAAAATTGGGAAGAATTGTGTTGAATCTATAGATCAATTTGAGGAGTGTTGCCATTTAACAATATTTACTTTTCAAATCTATAAACACGAAATGCCTCTCCATTTATTTAAGTTTTCTCTGATTTCTTTCAACAATATTTTGTAGTTCTCAATGTAAAAGTCTTAGATTTCTTTATTCGATTTATGCCTATTTTATTATTTTTGATGTTATTGTATGTGGAACTGTACCTTTACTTTCTTTTTCAGATTATTCATTGCTAGTATATAGAAATATATAGAAAACGGGATTTTTGTATATTGATCCTGTACCCTATAACACTGCTGAACTCATTAATTAATGTTGTGTGTGTGCACATGACTTAGTATTTTTTATTTTAATATACAAGATCATGTCATCTTCAAATAGTTCCTTTCAATCTAGATGCCTTTTATTTCTTTTTCTTGCCTAACTGCCTTAGGTAGAACCTCCCAATACTGAATACAAGTGGTAAGAGAATATATCCTATCTTGTTCTTAATCTTAGAGGAAATACTTCCAGTCTTTACTATTAATTATGGTGTTAGCTATGAGTTTTAAATAGATGCCCTTTATCCGATTGAGGAAGTTCCCTCCTATTCCTAATTTGTTGAGCGTTTTTGTCATAAAGGATATCGGATTTTGTTAAATGCTTTTTCTGTATCTATGGATGTGATTTTGTGATTTTTGTCCTATACTCTATTAATATAGTATATACACTGACTGATTTTCATATGATCAACTGATCATTCATCCTTGGGATGAATCTCACTTGATCATTGTGTAAATTCATTTTTTATGTTCCTGGATTTGATTTGCTAGTATTTTGGTTTGCTAGTAGATGTTGCTGCATCTATATTTTTAAGAGATATTAGTCTGTAGTTTTCTTTTGATATCCTTTTCTGATCTTGCTAATTGGGTAATACTGGCTTCATAGAATGAGTTGGGAAGTGTTTACTATTCTTCCATTTTTTGGAAGGGTTTGTAAATAACTTGTATTGAAATGTTCGTTAAGCATTTAGTAGAATTCACTAGTGAAGCCACCTGGGCATGGGCTTTATTTTGTGGGAAATTTTTAAACTACTAATTCAATCTCTTTATTTGTTATATAGGTCTACCCAAGTTTTCTATTTCTTCTTGAGTTAATTTCAGCTGTTTGCATCTTTCTAGGAATTTCATCTAGGTTTTTAAATTTGTTTGGCATACAATTGTTTATAGTATTCCCTTATAATATTTTTCAGTTTCTGTAAGGTTGGTAGTAATATTCTCATTTTTATTCTTGATGTTAGTAATTTGAATCTTTTTTTTTTCTTCATCAGTCTAATTTAAAGTTTCTTAATTTTGTTGATGTTTTCAAAGAACAATCTTTTGGTTTTGTCAATTTTTTTCTATTCTTTTCTCTATTTCATTTATTTCTGCTATAATCTTCATTATTTTCTAATGCTCAGTTTAGGTTTGTTTGTTTTCAGGTGGAAAATTGAGTTGCTGATTTGAAATCTTTCTTTTTTTTAACAAAGGCATCCTGTGGAGGGCCTTGTGCCTGCACAGTAGAAAAGTGACTCTAGCTAGCAGCTGTCTTTAAGTCCTTTAGTTCTGTACCACCACCTCTCGCCCCCTCGTGGAACATTACAGGGGCAAAGCAGTGGTCTGTGGTCCACCAAGGCTGAGAAAGTCCATCACCACCAGGAAAGGACATTCCTCAGGACTCCCGGAAGGAGTTCTTTGGGATGAGAAATAGAACAAAGACAACTTGTGAAGAAGTTCAGACTCTTGCCTCTGCAAGGCAAGTTGTAAAGAAGTTCAGACTCCTGTGATGTGAACACGTAAGGGAAGAGGGGCCTTTGAAGGTGACAAAGTCTGGGGCATTTTTTTACTCATAAAATCCCCACTCATAAAAGTCATGAACTGTGAAACTATTCTCCCAAAACTGTCTAAAAACAAGGCCATGAGGTAAATCAAACACTCCTTTATTTAGGAAAAGTTCCACAATCCCAACTCAAGGACCAGCTGCTGTGCTTGCTGCTAGAGACAGACCCACATGCGGGTCTTCAAGGGCATTCAATTCTGTGGAGGATACACAAATTTATAAGAAAAAGTGAATGGTTAGTATGAAGGGAGTTATTGGAGTAATCACAGGTAGATGCATAGTGCATTAAGGGCATGCGGGTCTTCAAGGGCATTCAATTCTGTGGAGGATACACAAATTTATAAGAAAAAATGAATGGTTAGTATGAAGGGAGTTATTGGAGTAATCACAGGTAGATGCATAGTGCATTAAGGGATTAAAAAGGACAGGCACCTAACCTATGCAGAGAAAACACACTGTGACATAAGTGCTAACAACACATTAGACCTAGCCAGCACCTCCATGATGGGGACAGAGCAGAGTGAGCAGGTGCACAGAGGCTCAGTCCTGCAGGAGTCAAGGCTGTGTGTGGAGATTTAGCAGACAAGGCTAGAAAGAAATGTAGGAGGGAGTCCAGATTATGAAAAACCTTATATTCAGTACAAAGAGCTGAACTTTGTGCCAATAAAAATGGAAAATGGGGCGATTAGATTACGCAGGAGGTGCCTGCATCCAAATGAAAGTCATGGAAGTCTGATTGTGGTGAAAGGAGCAGAAAGTAGACAAATGACAACTGACATTTAAGAAACAGTATTGACTTAGTAATAGACTGGATACAAGGAAAAATGACCAAGTTTCTGGCTTGGGCTCCTACAGGACTCTAGAGGGTGAGAGAGGAAGGCAGGACAGGGCAGGGCAAAACAGAGGAGTGGACCGAGGAACTGAGAGTGAGTAGAGAGTAAAGGAAAAATAATAGTAGCCTGAAACATTGTCCAATTAGAGCTAAGTGAGGAAATAAAAAAGGCCTAATGTCTTTAGAAAAAAATGAGGAAAATTATGTGTTTAAGATTGTCATGAAGAATATGCTTTAATTCCTTTAAGAAGTGTGTTTAAGGGTACCCACACTGAATTAGAAATCAGATATCCCTCCTCCTTTTTCTTAATCATTATTAAAAACAATGCAACTAAGAGTCACATAAATTATCCTAAGAATAGCAATCATTATATCACTTCAATGATTTGATGGTTATTTTACCATGTACTTTTAATATAAAAGGACCTGATGTAATAAAATTTGGGGGTCAATAAATCAGAAAGAAAATTATAATTTAGATCGTGAGGATATTCAGTATAGAGATTATATTTCTAAGAAAAGTTACATACACATATATGTAACTGAATTATTTTTGTTAATAAGTTTGTATGATCCAAAGAGAAGTGAAGGAAGAAGAACAAATTTTGTATGGGGACCAGCATATTACACTCCCTACTGCATTTGGAAATTTCCTGGTTGTGCAGGAAAACAAAACAAAAGACAACAACAGCTGTTTAACTTTGTGTAACTATAGTATTCCATACCTATTTAAATAAAGAACTCTGCCATGAAGCATTTTCCTACCAATACTAGTGTGAAAAACACCCAATCCGGGCTTTCCTTAAATCTCTGTTAGAGTCAGCTACTATCTTCTGTGCCCTTACAACATTCCCTTCATATTTCCGTAATAGAACACGAACAGTGACATCAATGTTTGTACAACTTCCTTCCTCAGTAGGCTGTAAATCCTACGAAGACAGGAATAGGTTTTAATTGACATATAGTAAAGTACGTGGCACTCTATCAGCATTCAATATTTATTTATTGAATCAATCAATTAATCCATTTGTTAGTTAAAAAAGCAACTTTAACCATTAGTATGATCTTTTTTGGCGGGGTGGCGGGGGTGTGTGGGGGAAGAATCCCTTCTGAATGTTTAACCTACCCACTACAAAATGAGTACTGTAGTCAGGAGGGGCATCAGGCCTGGGATCTGGAGATTTTATCTGATTTTCTGTTTCACCTGCAGGCTGCTCAGAGGCTGACGGAACTACACCTTGAGAAGAAGAGAGGAAATATAACTTACAAAGGAAATGATAATATGATAACAAAATGTGCTTATTTTTTCTTGTTGGTATGCATCAAGAAATATAATCAATATGAGATACACATATTTCTTACAAAAAACCATAATTCATCATGATATATTAGACATAAATTTAATAGTCCATAAATTTTTAGGCTGAATGAAGATTAAAAAATATAACTAAGCAATTTTATTGTGCTTGTGATCAAAGCAATGAACTTCCAAACTAGTGGTTCAGCTGACCCGATGCTGACTCATACCTATGTAATAAATTCTTTGTACAATAACAAAAATTATTTTTCCTATTGTATAACATGGAGAATACAGGCATATATAGATAGAGTAAATTTGATTTTTTTTTCCTTATTCTTTTGGAAAGTGGTGTTTTAATCAACTCAAAACATGACACCATAAATACTTAATGATTTAAAAAGCTGTGGTGCCACACGTGACTCAATTAGAGGTAGTTTAGTCTACATCTCCAGTGACTCACGTTTTTACTGTATTCTTTCTAAAAGCAACCTAGGTCACAGTAATCGCTGCAAGGGAGATATTAAACTCACTTTTCATGGTGTTAAAACTTATCCTCTTGCTGAGATTAGAGAAAGTTCTCTCTGGACTCACTATAAGCAAAACTTTGAATTTCCTAAACTACTGATTGGCTTTAATGTCACAGAAAACACAAATCACATAAAGGTGGCATTTCTGCCCTTACATCAGTTATTAGAAAACGCAGGAACTTTCAGCCTTCCTCCATTAAGGCAGGATGTCACTGAAGGCTCTTTCTTTATTACTCACACCTCCCTTTCCAGATGTATTTTCCTACACTTGATCTTCCTTTACTTAATTTTCCTCACATACTTTAAAGATCTTTCAGTACATATGCACCAACATAAGTCACTTTTTAATCCTCTTCTGACAAAGAGAGAAATGTTCTTATCTTTAAATGAATATATACATTTCTATTTATGTTTTCCAGATGCTAAATAAAAAACTTCAAAATGAAATGAGCTCACTTTTTGAAAAAAAAAATCACACAATTCACATTAGAAATAAAGCATATTCAAATATATTCACAAAAACTTACCCGACATTTTGAAGAGTTCCAATTAATCCTAAAAAATAAAACATGTTGAGAATAAAAGACGTTGAGAATATAGCAGTAAACCAGACAGACACTCTGCTGCCTACTCTGCTGGAGCTTATATTCTAGCATGGTGACATTAAAAAAAAAATGCAAACAAATGTATAACTTTAAATTTAGATACTACAGTTATGAAGAAAACAAAGTAAAAAGTTTAAGAAAAACACGGATGGGAAGTTCCAGGACAGCCTCTCTAAGTAGGTGACCTTTGAGCTATTTGAACTATGAAAACATTACACTAAAGTCATGGGAAAAGAGTTCCAGGAAGACAGGAAAGTAAGTGCAAAGGCCCAGAGATGGCAATGAGCTTGGGATATTCAAGGGAGAGAAAGAGAGAGTGGTCGGTGTGACTGGGCCACAGTGTATGAAGAGAACCGAGGTAAGAGATGAAGACAGAGGTCTGATCACATCTGGAGGCAAGGTGTCAGGAAGTTGTTGTTGCGACTGGGAAGTCTCTGGAGGAGTTTAACCAGCAGAGCTGGAGTGATGAGATCTGATGTATACTGTAGCTCGAGAGGGCAGGAGCAGAAGCAGGAGCAGTGAGGGAGGAAGACAGCAATCCAGGTGAGAGCTGCCATGGGCTTAGACTGGGACGTAACACCAGAGAGGGTTAGAAGTGGTCAGAGGCACGACATGGTTCAGAAACAGAACCTACAGGAGTTGTTGATGGACTGTGGAAAATGGAGGATTTCAGTTTTAGGCCAGGGCAACTGAGTTGAAGGTGACACCATTAAGTGAACCAGAGAAGAGGACGGTGGGGACATAGGAGGGTAGGAATCAAAAGTGCACATTGGGACATGTTATATTTAAGAAGAGGCAAAAATATACAAATTAAGAATTAAATTTAAAAAAATATATGTGAACATTATAAGAATAACTCAGAGAAGGAAACTAGAAGTTAAGATGAGATTTGAAACAAGGGGTGGGGATGGAATCTGCTGGATTCAATTAGGCCAAAAAAAGGGGGGGGGCTATTATTAGAGAAAGGAATTTCAGTATTTCTGAATTTCCAAGTTCTGGGTAATGACAAATAAGGAGAACATCATCCACAAAGGCTATAATTTAGGGAAGGTTTATCAAGTGTTAGGATAAAGGCCTGATACTGTTCATATATTACCTCTAATCACAACAGCATCTCTCTAATATATAAATGGCAACCATGCTAAAGGCAAGTACTTCTAAATCCAAAGCCCCTGTACTTTCTTTTTTTTTTCCTTTTTGTCTTTTATCGTGACCGGCAACGGATCACAACCCTCAGTGTCGCGCCTGTACTGGACCGGGACAGCAACAGGATCGCAACCCTCTGGTGTTGCTCCCGCCCCTCGCTCAGCCAGTGAGCAGCCGGTCTGTATGTGGGATCCGAACCCTCGGTGGGAGCGCCACCTCGCTCCCAAGCAGTGCACTGTAGCAGTGCGCCACCGGGCCGGCCCAAAGCCCCTGTACTTTCTAATACACCATCTGTTTATCAGAGTACAGAATACAGTCCTTTGTGTTGTTTGAGTGGAAGAAAAGTCACCAAAATACAGGAGGTCAAAGAAGCATTAGAACGTCATGACTGAGTCATCATTATGGATATTTAATTGACTCAATGAAAATCGCCGTAGCATGAGCCAGTGCGTAGAGTTCCAGCTCAAATAAGTGTCTTGCCAAGATGGGTGAGAGTTCAACTAGTCGTGGGCCTTCTTCACTCACCTTTGGAGCTGGCGTTAGTAGTACAGTGTTCTATGCGTCTCAAGAGGATAAAAAAAAAAAAATTCTGGGGTGCACCAGAAAGTCAGATCTAATTCTGGGCCAGACAAAGGAGTTCAAACAATCGATCCTATTCCTCACTGATGGTAAACCCTGTTGTTTAGGAAAATGACCACAGTTTTCTAAACTTGAAACCCTCCAGTCCTAGGTTAAGTACCTGCACGTGACTCTTGCATATATACACAGCATGTACACAAGAATGTTCTTGATACTACTGTTCATTTTAAAAGAAACCGAAAACTTGCTTAATCTCTATCACTGGTAGACTGAATAAATAATTTATGGTATATAATACCAGAAAAAGTTTAAAAACTACTGAATATAGGTGAACACAAAGATTTGAATATTACTTTCTATATTAATTTTTTATTGAAACATATCGATCATACATGTTTATGGGGTACAGAGTTATATTTCAATACCTATATACAATGTGTGATGATCAAATCAGGATAATCAGCATATATGATGTAATAGTATACTGTAGTGAAAAGGAACTATAGCCATAACAGCAACAGGGATGAATCTCAACAGTGCAACACTGAACAGATGAGCAAATTATTGGAGAATACATAGAGTATGATTCCATTTAAGAATGTCCAATAGCAAGAAATCTAAGCTAAACACACTCCGATACATACTCGTTTAAAAATACTAGGGAATTAATAACACAAAATTCAGGGAAATGGTTACATGTGGGGGAGAAGTTATGAGGGGCAAGTGTTTAGCAGTGGCCCACAAGGTGCTCTAAGTCCCTGCCTATGTTCTAATTCTATCAGAGTGATGGGAACAGGGGTGATGTATTGTCATTACTTTTTAAAGGGCACATATATGTTTAAATACATATATTTACATGTAAGACATTGTTTCACGCTAAACAAAAACCATTTGACAGTTATTGGTTGAGTGTAACCTTCTTCGAACTAAAGATCTGTTGCTCCTTTCTGTGTTAAGTCTGGGGATTGCAAATTATCAAGGTACCACAACAAAAACTAATTAGAACAGATATATTAAGTGCCTCAGTGAAAGGGGGCCAAATTATCTATTTATCTATCCATCTATCTATAGTGGAAAACTGGATAGTACAGTACAAAAGTGGCAAAGTTTAAAAAATACTGAATCTAGGCAAATGCAGAGATTTAAATATTATTTTTTAAATTAATTTTTTATGGAAATATATTGCTCATTCATGTTTATGGGGTACAGAGTTATATTTCAATACCTATATACAATGTGTGATGATCAAATTAGGGTAATTAGCA